AATGTCACGAGGAAGCTACTAAAGCTATGCCCTTTTAAAATCCTCTACATTGAAAAACTAATTTTTTTAGAACTGATTTTTGTGTTTCGATTGTGGGCCGTATGGTTGGCCACGTACGGTGTGAATGAAGTTCAGCATACACGATGGTGGTGATGGTGAGGAAGTGGGAGATGTTGACGGTGATGATGTTGATTGTTGATGATGCAGCCGTCTGGAACGCCTTCGTTAACAGACCCGCACATTTCTTATTCGGCCTCGGTCGTTTATAACCGTGAAGTCGCACTGCGATAAAGTTAAAACAGAATACCGCCAGATCTCGATGCAAAGCAATTGCTGCCACTTGAAAGCGGATGCCAAATCCCGGTCTGTGCCGGATGGCACCTTCACAGGAAAAATCTCAACGGGCAAAGCCGAATGGTGGTAACCCGAGTGAGATGCCTGTTGATTTTCGACAGTAAATAAGGATTGTTTGCCATGCGATGAACGCTCTATAAAAGGTGTGCCCCTGGTGTGAATAAATACGTCTGTTCAAGGGACTTGAGAGGTTTATCCGTGGTGTAATTCTCCTGGGTTGCCCTTTCACACTTGCCACCTGTGAGAGTTCCGAATAGAAGCCGCTTCATCTCATGACGTAATCGCTTGCGCAGTCGGAATGTAATCGCGAGAAAAAAAATGTGGTGATGGTGAAAAGATGTTTTCAGGCCTTGGCCCTTATTCTGAACAGTGAGAAAAAGCCATTACCTGGAACCGTAATGTAATGTTTCTCCTGAAGGCAACGTGAATAACACCGCGACCAACACATCTCTTTTACTACAATTAGGAAATATTGCAAGAGGCAGTGTTCGCATTAGCAACAGCCCCCGAAACCGCTCTCCTTGATATTAAGGGGGAGAGAAAAAAAAAAGCCACATCCGTGGAAGAATCGTAACGTTCCGTGTCACCACACCGTCCTTGGCGAAACGCGCGATGTTTAATTCGAAGTCGTTTCATTAAGATCGCTGTAAAGGGTAACCGCGTGTGATGGATTTTCAATCGAGAGCCATCCTAAGCCGCCCTCAAATCTGGCTCGGCACCCCCTCCCCCACCCGGCCTTTGTATTGAGTCACACGAGGTGTTTAGGTGGGGCGGGGGGGGGGGGTTGCTGGTGGAGGTGGGAGGGGGGGGGTCCTCTTTACAATATCGCAACCCCCCCCCACATCCCCTTACCCCTTTCCTCCCAGCCAAGCAAATGTCTCCGCTCCGCCGTTGCTAAGCGTCGTGTCGCGTGGCCCCTACCTGAGCCGTTACTCACGGCGCCGGGGGCAAGTAAGGAGAGGCGAGAAAGGAAGAGGGGGAAAAAAAGGTATACGAAAACATGAGATGATGGGATCGATTTTTTTTATTTCAAGACGGGCGGAGGTGGGAAGACGTCTTGTTTTTCTGTCCGTGATGTCGTCGGCAATTGTGGGTGGAAGGGTGGTGGTGGGTGTGTGGCTGCGGTCTAGGCTGGGAGACCCAGAGATTCACTCCTGTAGAATTGATTTTTTTTTCTCGGTGGAAAATAGCATTCCGCCTCACGTTTTCAGATAAATTGAGGTGTGTGTAACGCTGTCACCTCTTTAACACGCGCCGGGGGTCACTCGCCGCCATTCACCTGAGTTCGTACGTAGCCTCTCTCTGCTATGCACGTACGTGGACGTGCTGCGATGATTATAAATAAAGAATAATTCTCAAATGTCACCAACGCACATGGTATTTCATCAATAATACACGTGCGTGTAGAGTGGTGGTGGTGGTGTTAGTCGTGGCTCACTGCGCGATGAACCGGGTTACCGCAGTTCGATTCCTGCTAACAACAAACATCAGCAGTGAGTGAAGCGGCATCTAAAATTGGTCCTGGGTGACTTCCCCCCCCCTCGCCGCAACCCACTCTCTACCGCCCGTTCACCAACCAGCACACTCAGCAAGGTAGTGAAGCATGGTCAAATAACCTCCTCGACCGACATGGCCTAAATCTAGCAGAGGGGCTGAACACGTTTTATATTTATTCAGAGGGTCCATGTTGAAGGTGCCGATTCCCATTGAAGAATTTTAATTGGCTAATGTGGCCTGTAATCCAGGGTTGGTGGGTCACCGCACAAATAGTGTGAAACTCCCATTCCCATGTACATCAAGGTGCCGTACCATGGCTTGCCAAGTATAGTACAGAAAATATTGACCCCATCTGTTCCATCTGTGTATGGGATCGTGTTGCCCCCTTGCTCACTTGGGGTTTCTCCATGTCCTCCTATAATTACTTATATAGAAAACCATAGAGCTTGGGGGCAGAATTTGGTGCTGGCTGACTGTCCGGCCTGTTGCCTTGCCCACTTGTCGTGGTCCCCTCCTCGTGTCTCTGACTCCTCTTCGAGAGAGAGCCAATACTGGTGGGCATTGACGTTATTACAACATCGCAGAGATCATTCTGTGGAAGGAGTAACGCGATGGCAATGTGCAATTTCCGCTTCTCGCGGGGGGCTGCCCAATGAGGATATATAAGTGCCGCCCCCCCCCCCTTCCCCGATTCCTCATTAGAGGAGAAAGACAATTGCATACATCGCTTCATCAAGTAATTAGCAGGTTCCTTCCATGGACTCTGCTGCTGTTGATACTGGTTCTTGGGCAATAGCGTTAAACACTAGGAATGTGAAAAAGTACTTTCGTCTGGGTCTGTATATGGGGTATGAACATTGCACTCGAAGAATATTGAGAGGTGCCTTAGTCTGGCTCGGTAAGCCTCAGGCATTTACACAGAACCATACTAATTTACAATGTGCCTTAGTCTGGTCTGGGCATTAACATTAAATGGAAACAATCTCAAAGCTACTGTAGTCTTGCTCGTTGAGCATTGGACATTAACACAAAACTGTATTAATTTTAAATTTACCTTTTCAATTGACTTTTTAAATTTACCTTTTAAATTTACCTTTTGTCTGGCTTTGAGCATTAACATTGCAGCCCACACACCCTAATAAAAGGTGGCTTAGTCTTGCAAGGTGTTTTTTTTATATCGTTTGGGGCACGTGATATTTCTCCTGCCTATACTCGTTTGCGTGTCGAATCTAAATAGGAAATAATCCTTTTGGAAGCATGATAATAAAGAAGTGGCATTTTGTCAGCTGGGACATCACAACGTCCCTTGTGCCCGTTGACATCCTGGTGACGGGCGCAACTTGGTAATGCAGATGTGGGGATGAAAAATTGGAAGTGTGGTGACATTTTCCGCAGTTTATTTGCGTTTTTTCTTTATCCCCCCCCCTCTTTAAATTATTTTCCAATTGTGCTGATCGTCATCACGCCACGAGACGACCGCATCTCTCCGCAGAGCTCTCTCTCGACTCGTATCCACACTCGGTGGTTCGGCGTGCACTCGGTGGTGGATTTATCTGAAAAAAATATTCATGGCGTGGCAATTAAGCAGTGAATGCTTTCACCATCAGAGCTGCAATACGCTGAACTTAGTTGACGAGCCAAATCTGTTTTGTGTGTTTTTTTTTCTTGTGCCGCCTCTTTGGCTATTGTGATAAGACTACAAACTCGCGACCTTTCCTACCTCGCTTTAATCGACATACAGACCCATCAATAGATTTACATAGAGACCCCACAGACTTGCACACACTCTACTATAGGATTTTTGCATGACGATCAAACTAATGTTTTAAAATTGCTGAGCTGGAATTTCACCAATTTTTTTTTTCCCATACAAAACCAACTTGAACGTAATGGCGTTTTTTAAAAATGCAAATATTAATTTATGGCTTGGCTGATATCAACCACACAGTCCAATCACGGGTGGCTGAAATCTAGGATTTGAACACAGATTCTCAGGTTTTTGTTGGCTGTATCCCTTAGGTCTTTGAGGTGCACGCGAGCGGCGTGTTCTTTTTATTTAAATCTAGTCTACATTAAATTGGGCAGATGTAGGGAAATGGATACAATTATAATTTATCTATTGAAATTCAAATGCATTCATTTCATTTTGAGCTGCTTTGTTGCCCGCTAAGAGACTATTGCTTGATTGTACTTTTCCTTTTGTTCCAATGGTTATGATAATGATCGTCATCACACTGTTTATTATTAGGTCGGCAAAATTGGTGTGGGCAGGTCCCCATGTCTTTAGGGGTTCTCACAAACGGTAAAGTGGAACTTTGAATCGTGGCTTGCCCACCTGTGCAGCCATTTGTGCCTTTGCAACAAAAAAAAACCCACCAGCATTTCCTGAAGAAGTGCATTATGGTCCTCTTGTCTTGAGCCACCATCAGCAGTAGTGATAGATAACCATGGACGAGTTTTATCCTGATTAAGACTCAGCAGCACGCTGTAGTCACCAGTGATCACCTCATGTTTGTGGAGTCCCCACATCGACACGATGGGGTCCCATGATCTGGGCCAATGCCAACCGAAATGAAATATATAAATGACGAGAGAAAAATGCATCCTAACGGATGATGGTGGTGATTTTAAGGACGAGTTTAAATATAGGTGGTGATTAATATCATGTTTTCAAGTTACCTCTTTAGTTGCGTAAGTGCTACTTATTCAAATTCAAATGGGTTATTAAAATAGATAGGATGGATATAAATGTAAATGTTCTTCTAAAAACAGGATTAAAAATGTATACGTCCTTAATGTGTTGGCTAATAAACTAATTCTGTACACTGCACAGCGAATGTGTTTTTAGTCAATATAAGCAACGCTTGCAGAATTCTTTACAATCACAGGCAGTTATGAATCAAAAAGTAACACAAATTGTACCACGGCGACACCAGTAGTAACCGTTAGAGAGAAACGATTCTTGTTTTGGAAAACAATACAAGCTACTCGATGTATTCCACTTTAAAACAGGACGCTTGCGATACGTATAATTCAAGTTATTTCTCCTACATCTTAATGGGAAACGCGGTAATCGATTTTTTTGCGGTTGCGCGCCAATGGTCATCTGATAATGTGTCGGTGCGCTTGGTGTCTCCTTTCCCCCATAGACTCGGTATCCAGCAAGCTGCAGAACAACAACGTGTTCACCATCGCCAAGAGGAATGTAGAGGGCCAGGACATGCTGTACCAGTCGCTGAAGCTCACCAACGGCATCTGGGTGCTCGCAGAGCTGCGCATACAGCCCGGCAACCCCAACTACACGGTACGGCACGGTCTCGCTCGGTCACAGATGGACCTGTGTCATTGCGATGTTTTTTTTCCACGGTGGCGAGATGTTATCTACCTCGCAAGGCCGTGGGTTCGATTGCGACCCTGATGCCCGTGGTATGTTTTGAGTTTGCATGTTCTCCCTGTGGTCGCGTGGATATTTCTCCAGTTCCTTCCTCCGCTGTTTTCCCTCCACGTTTAGAAACATACGTTTAAGAGTATTTGGCTGCTATAAATTTTCACACGATAAGCCACTTCGTTGAGCGATCATTTGTGGCCAGGTCGCTTCTCAAAAAGAGCTGTATAGCTCGGTGGGCCTTACCCGGTAAAAAAAACAATTTGTTGACTCATGCTTACGCACGCACGCACACTCGCACACTCGCACGCCTGCCACTCGAAGCTCCCTTCCTACGTGGACTTTCATTCGGACAGGCGCAGATGAACGCGCGCATGTCCACAGAAGGGGACGCCTGTGATTTGCTAATCGCTGGGACGTGCAGGAGGAGGCGTGTGCGTTGGTTGCTATCTGGATAAGAACACCTGTACAGCGACAGGTGTCCTCATGCACAGGTGTACAGTGACAGCCGCTGGGAACAAAAGTGCCCAGGATGCACCCGACCTCATTGGCTTTTGGAATCTGAGCAGGGCTGAGCCTGGGATAGTGCTTGAATGGGCGACCACTAGACATAACAATGTGCTGCTGCAGGGGTTACTTTGTGGGCAGTGAAAGTCCGTGAAGTATGGGGGGGGGGGGGGGGGGGAATAGAAGCGCAGGCAATGCACGAATAGAGTGCCACGCGTGCGGGCGGCACTGTGTGCTTTGGCGCCCGTCGCCAGGATTAGCGCGCCGGCGACGCAGAGCTATCTGCCGCGGAATCTCGGAGGAAATAACCGCTAACGTTCACAATTACTCTGGTGCCCAGAGAGAGCTTTTTCTGCTTGCGCATCCCGAGGTGTCGCGCGCACACACACCTAAGTAATGCGGACTGCGGCGCGCGTACTATGTAATTGCCGTGAATAAAATATTTGTAGGAATTTGCCGCGCCGCACGTCGTGTTCCATCTTGATAATTACGGTAATTGCCAAGACCGAATGGTGACCTAGCAGAGTAATTTGAGGCGGTTACTGCTCTTTCCTTGGTGGCCTACGTCTTTATTTAAATAAACAAAGGCCCTTTGGCAGTCTAAAAGTACAGTAATTGCCCAATATAGGCACGTCAAAGTATTCCTTATTTGATTTTGGCATGAATTATGGTATTGCGATATAGGTAATGTTTAGGGTAAAGTATTGCCTATACTGGGTTTTCCCTATATAGGCATTTCCTTATGCTTGGCTATTCCCTATTTACTTTTCCTTCAGCTTAGGTATTGCCTTGAGCTAAGCTATCAAGCTCAGGTATTGGCTTATAAAGGCATGGCATAAGCTATGTATCGCTTAAATTGCGCAATGCCCTATGGTGTTGGGAATACCTGGGCATCCTTTCAAAACGTGGGTTTTCTGCAGGGATAACCCGTTTCCACACACACGCACGCACGACACTCAATAGGGAATTGACTCTCTCAGAATCATGATAAGCAGAGAGCCGCGGCCAACCACTGCTGCTCTTATTATACACTACATCCCACGGCCACCCGGCAGCCCAATGTTGTCCCCGATAGTCGAACAGATAGCTCTACGCTCCAGGAGCTCCGTCAGGGGGTGGCTGGAGGAGAGAGCGTCTGCCGTACGTGCATGCGTGCGTGCGTCTCTCGCTCTGGCCTCGTCACCTCATCGATTAGTGATCTGCTGCGTGGCGGCCCCTGCATCGTGATTCTGTCTCCGGGTGTGAGGGAGCTGCTGCTGCTGCTTTGAATTTTGTGCCGCGGAGGTTCAGCGGAGTCCCGCCCGCAACCGCTCCGTTTACGCTTGGTCTCTCTTTACTTTTTGTCATGTGTGTGCCCGCGCCTGTTTGTGTGCGTGTGTGCATGCAAGTTTGTATGTGTGTTTGTGTGGACGTGTGTGTGTGTGTGTTTTGCGAAAGTGGGGAGCGGTAGTGCAGCGGTTAGTGCACTGCGAAACGAACCCGCGAGCCGGGTTTCCCGCTCACAGCCAACACCAGTGACGATTATCTGAACCAGTCCTGGGCCTCCTCGAGGTCGACTCGGCCTCAAATGAGTGCCTGGTATGATGTGTAAACATCGCCACTGGGGAGACAAAGGCGGTCGTGCGAGGTGTTGGCCACCTCTCCCCGTGTGCCATGTCGGCCTTCATAGGTGCTCGTTAGCAGCACTTGCCCCAACAGTCTGTTAAGGCTATATGGGGGGTCTTTGTCTGTGTGAGAGTGGGGAGCGGTTGTGTAGCTGTTTAGCGTGTTGCGCTATGAACTGGTTTGCACGTCTCGCCTCATAACACCCAATTTGTTTGTGCGTAGTTAGCAGAGGGGGGGTGTGACGATGCATCCCTTCATAATTGATATTGATTCTTAAGCTTTTAAAATATGGATCGAGCCCCATTTCGTAAATTTATCTTTTTCAATCCATAAATATTGTATGCAATGGGATGACTTAACCGCTGCAGCCACGAGTGGCCGCTGCTTTCACAACAGCGTTTGGAACAAAACAATCGATGGTCTAATCACGACAATTCCTCAAACCGCCAGGTGGTTAAATCGTTATGCTTCTACCGGACATGCGAATCATCGATAATCGGCATCTGAAGACAGTCTGCCTAGCTGGTACCACCACCTGGGGGCTTGACTCGGTCTGAAATTAGTTACCTAGTGCGGTGTCAAGACCAGCACCTGGGAGCCATTTGGTTGTCCTGGACACACCACCCCCTCGTGTGCTCAGCTGGCCCTATAATAGGCGCTCGCTAATAGCGCTGTGTGGGCTACATTGGGTGCCATCATCCGATTGATAACCTAGCATACCTGGCTGCATTTCCGGAAATATGCATGCGCATCTGCCCACGTGCACACACATCCATGCCTAACCATGTGAGTGCACGTATTATTGTGTGTGCGCGCGCACGTATCATTGTGTGCGCGCGCACGTATCATTGTGTGCGCGCGCACGTATCATTGTGTGTGCGTGCGCGCGCTCGTGCATGCGTACGTGTGTACATGTGCGCACCTGCCTGTGTGTCTGCGCGCGTGCAGTTGCAGCTAACCAAGGAAATCGCTGTCCGTGTGTGCATGCGCGCGTGAAAATTGTTATTGTCTGTTAATGCCGTTCGTTGCTCCGCTAACCTACTTGCCTTTTGTGTCGTGCATGCCATCATCCTGCTTTTCCATCCAGGATCTGGAGGTTTGGCTTCTTGTTTGGCATTTTCTTAGAGCGTGCTGTGCTTTTTATTTGCTTGTGCTTGGCAACGACTCATTCCGCTTGTGCAATTAAAAACTGTTTTGCTCTATACCGCTATTATTTTATTCCCAGCAGGCCTCTTATTGCTCAACAGCGTAGGTCGCTTTGCTTTTCCCAAGTGTTGTGATTTCTCGCGTGGAAGGGTGGGTGGGGGGTCAATATTGCAAGTGGTATTTGCTGCGGGGACATAAACAGCCGAGGGAACAAAGTCAAATAATTGACTCATGTTACGTAAATCCTGCCCCGTCCGACTGTCAATGCGCTCCCCCACGCTTACGCTAACCCGCACTGACCAACCGTGGTGAAGTATGGTCCAATGACCCCACGCGGCGTATCGAGCCGCTTAACCGGCAGTACACTGACAAAAGGGTGGACCATTAAAGCAATAAACTTCAGGCAGAGGTGGGCCAGGAAACCCAGCAGGGTAATACGTCGGGAGAACTGAGCTGGCTGCCACAGCCGAGATTCTGGGTTCTAATCTGGCTTTCAGCCGTCTGTGATTAAATTGTGTTCTCAAGTGTATTGAGTTGATGGATTCTGCCCGGTTACTGATTATTGCGCGCAAGAAACCCCATCAAGTTAAATGCAGTGTTTCGCGTAATTTGGCTCATTCTCGCCTTGAGAATTGAAAAATACACACACGTATAATTTTGAATGACGTGTGGAAAACGGGCCTAAATGAAGTGACTTCAACACGAGTTTCATGATGTCACATTCTGAGATTCATTCTCTTTCCCATGGTGGTGCACTGCTCTCAGCGAGAGCTCTGACCGAATATTGCTTCGTCTCATCGTGCCAAGAGCACAATTGCAACGTATCTTTGGGGGGGGGGCGGGCAGCTTGGGGGGGGGCAATTAATTTTCAGTTACCATGGGTTCCTGCTCTTTACATAGCGGTTTCATCATCCGCAGCCATGATCTATCCATTGCTGGATCAAGCAGAGCAGTTGTTATGTTTAACTATCACCTTGAGCAGAGCCAGATGGTTTCACAGCCGAACGTCAGTGGGGTCGTGCGGTTGCAGGGACAGAAGGATCACACGTTCATAATCCCTTTCAGCGGTCAACACAACCCATCATCGTCATCATCATCATCAACGTAAAAATGATCTCCAACGTGGCAAGTCGACATTGATCATACTACAGAGTGACATTCTCCTGCCAGCATGAACGTGGAGTTTCCACCTCATGATCCAGGGAAGCCAGCAGCGATCATCTTCTGTTTACAATCTTTAGCTAGTGTCGTAAATCGCCTATTCCTACGGTGGGGACAACCATTGTTGACTTTCCTGCAAAATGGTACTTATTTTATCTACCCCGGGAGGTTGATGAGCTGCGTGAACCCCAAACCAGGATTTGACCCTAGCAGCCTTCCATTTGAGAGCTGCTCACTCCTGATCCGGCTGAACCGATGTGCCAGCTGGAGATGACAACCGCCTAATGGCTTTAAATTACAACAACGCGGTGAATTCCACTTAAAGTGTTCAGCGCGTCTGGCTACAGATGTTCACGCACGCAAACACACAGGCGGAACGACCGGCGAGTGCCCTCGCCAGTCCACTAACAAAAAAGAACGGAGCGTTGTCCGTGGACTTGCGTAAAATCTGACGTCCTCTGTCTATCAAGCGTTACTTCTCACTTGTCACGAAATGGCAC